CCCCAAAACCCCAAAACCCCAAAACCCCAAAACCCCAATAGAGCAGCTCGTAATTGAAATATTATTTGATCATTATAATCTAGCTTAATAACTCTTTTATTTCATCATTTGCGTAAAACTTCTTGCCATTCTTAAACGAAATTGTGGTGGTCCTAACTTTTGAATAATCTCTGAGGAAGAATACCATGATCAAGGCAAGAACTCCTAATGAGCCAAGGATGTAGAAAAGTGCATCGTATTTAATTTTATCTTGAGATCTTAATTTTGAAAGTCCCCAACCTAGTAAAGTCGCTCCTGCAAATCCTGTGAAAACAAACGAAAAAGCTTTTCCACCTGTATTAGGACCAAACATTTTAGCTCATAATGTAGGAATCGTTGAGAAATGTCCTCCAAGAGTAGAAAATGATATCAAAACCCAAATGAGGTAGAGGGCTTTACTATTGTGAATAGCAACAAAAGTGAATGCTACTACTATTTCAAGGACTAGTAATCACATGAAGACTATTTTGAATCCGAACAAATCTTGGAGTGTAGCCCAGAAACCTCTGGAAAGGCCATTTGTAACTGCCCCAAGAGAGCCTACCAGAGTGATGAACCTGTCGTCATGTAAGTAATTTTGCTCATAGGTTTTAAAATTCGATGCAATGAAATAGGGATAGCTCGAAGAAAGAAGGATCATTAGCCAAATGTAGTAAAGTCTATAATCTTTAAAGACTTCTCATAATGTAGGCTCAACAATTTGTATTTCATTTTCCTCTCTTTTTCCAGACTCTCTTCTCATTGTCTGAGTCAAAGCCAGATCCTCTGTTTCATTAATATCTTCTTGGTGGTTAGAAGGAGTACTGAGTAAGGTGTATGGAGTTGATGTCTTGCTCTTTTTATTAATCATAAATAAAGAAATAAATAATAAACAAGCCCATATAGCACAATTAATCCTGATCATTCTTGGTGCATTTGATGCTACAGAAGTCTCTGGGCCAAAAATTTTCCCTCCATCTACATCAAGATCTGGCTTTTGCCCTTCTGGGTTAGCAATAGCAATTGAGATAAATCCAAAAATGAATGATCCAAAGCCGAATCCTGCAACTATAACTCCACTGACAGCTCCTTTCCATTTTGGAAAATATTCCCATCCTCATATAACAGGAGCCATATAGGAAGCGCCAATACCAATCCCGAACAGAATAGGATATGAAAATATGAAAATCCAGAAATTGGTAACAAATGAGGATCCGAACACTCCTCCTATAGCTATTATTCCTCCTATGAGACAACTGATCCATGGAGGGAAGTGTTGGATCATTAGTGGGGCTATCGGCATTCAAACTGCCTGTGCGATAGTCTGAATAACAAATACAATACTGGTATCTTCAAGGGTCACAGAGGGATCATGCTTATGCAAGTATGAAGTGATATATACCTGAATATTACCCCAGAGGTAGAAACAACCGAGGTAAAGGTGCATAATAACACCTCCACTGACTCATAAAAAGCCTTTTGTTCGATCTGAGAACATATTATCTTTTAGTATATCAATTTATATTGATATTAATGGGGTTTTGGGGTTTTGGGGTTTTGGGGTTTTGGGGTTTTGGGG